TTTTTTCTTAAGATTTTATTAAGCTTTTAAGTTAGCATTTAGAAGTTAGAACTAATCAAACGAAAAAGTTTCCAGTTTGTACAGGAAAAAAGTAGCAAATTGTGCCCGTCATTAGTTTAATTAATTCCAAAATCTAGGTGGTAGAAATTGGTGCCAGGTGTGGTTCCCCGCTACGCATTTTGTGTATAACCACAACTGTTATGCTACCCACAAATCTCATATGACACTCGCTATAAATTTTCACTATGGCATTGAGTTATTTAGCCTTTTATGAATTTATCTCACTCCTTAAATTACCATTAATTTCCAGAACTATAGTGAAGCAATCATATCTTTGTGCAAACTATAGAGGACTGGTCCTCTGAACATTTTTGTCCGGTTAAATACTAAGTTTTGAAACTCTTCCTAGGGGTGTACGTGGGTCGGTTCGTTTGGGTTTAGATATTTTAATCACCTAACTCATATACCACGATTTTGAAAACACTAAATACAAACTCACCCAAATAATTTTGAATTTTAACGGTTTGTGTCGCTTAACTAAGGACGATCTCATTGTCCAATCCCATCATATGGATGTCAATCCATAAAAGTACCCATATTCGTGTTTGTTAACACATGTTTCACATTGTCATTACTGTGACCGGTAACTTCGCTGCAACTGATTCGGTATTGCTCATCATATGGCCTCCAAACTGATAAACATATCGGGCCAACAGTTTTATGACAAAACTCAAAGTGTAGACAACTCATCGTCTGGTGAAATTTTGGCGCTTGCTGGTGTCCATTAATCTAATTGAAGCATACTGATTGCTAAAATTAAGCTTTCACGCAACACACAAGGAGTTGGTGGTGTGAACTTGGAGTAAAAGTTGATATTGGGTTTGCGAAGGGAAGTGGTGAGAGGAAGAAATTGTGTTTGGATTTGGTAGCAGGTAAAGTTCATGGTTCGGTTTCTTTTCGTAAAATGCTTTGATTTATTTTAGTTGAGGTATAATATCATGGTTATGTGGATCAAATGAACCAAAAATGAGTTTGGGGGGATGGGAATTCCAACTTAGAAGGAGTGGATTAGATTTTGATAAACTCAAGTTCATGATTAACTGAAAGAATATTTAGATTTAGACTTTGTGGTATTGAGATGTTCATAGAGAGTTTAAAACTGATCTAAGGCCATGGATTGATATTGGTTAGTTGATTGTGACTTTGAGGAAGGTGTATAAAATAGTTTGCAGCAAGTGAAGGCAATGAAGAGGCAGTTGGTCAGGGTAGGGATTGAACCAAGGAGGGTATTGAAATACATAGAAGCAAAATCGGAGCAGTTGAAGAGAGAGAAGTGGTAGATGATCAAGATATTAATGAAAATGGAGAGGGTATTGAAGGGCATGGTAGTGAACTGGATCAGGTGAAGGCAGAGAAGAGGAGAAGAGCATATTGATGGAATTGAAGATGAGTGTTAATTTTACGAGCTTATTAAAACTGCCCCGAGGAAGATGAGTTGGCCAAATACAAGAAAGAGGGTTGAGGAGTTGGAGATCAATCTGACAAGAAACTCAACTGAAAGAGAAATTCAGGTTCATGGAGAGAAGGTCCATCAAAGTAGCATAAATGGAGTTGCAGAAGGAAGATTAGAAATTGAATTTTGGTTTAAAACATATACGTCGAGAGATTGAAGATGGAGGGGATAAAAAGGTGGTTGTACAACGGAGAGTGGAAACTATTGGATCTTTAGGTGTTATGGTTGTTGCAACTACCATATCTATGTTTATGTTAAACGGAGGAATCATTGATTGATTTACTAAAGTTAAGGTCAATTCACTATTCAAACTACTGGAACCTTTAGATAATGAGTGTCTAATTTTGTGTCTCATTACTTTGATCGAGTCTATTAGTATATTGGATGTGACTTTAATTTTGTCATTTGCTCTCAAGTTTTGATGGTCTCCTTTTAGTTGAGTTGTTAGCATATGATTTACTTGAATCAACAACTCTTCATGGTACTGGTTTTGAAGTGGATCTGGACTGAGGTTTTGTCAAGATGGTTATGACCTATCCCCCCTCCCTTATGTTACGACAATATGCTGATGGTCGAGCAGGGCGGGAGGGTCTACCATCCCAGTTTGTTTCGTTTTCTTTCTCTTTCTTTTTCTTTTCTCTTTCACCCCTCCCGTTTCTTTGGGGTCTTGGCTCGTTCGGTGTCAGCTTGCCGAGCCGGCTGGTGTTTTTTTTTTCCTTCCCTGTTTTGCTACTCTTCAATTAATATATATCACCATTAACAAAAAAAACAACTCTTCATTTCTGTTTTTTTTTATAAATCCATTTCTTTTTTATTAGTGGCATGTTATTCATAGAGAAGAGCTTTGAACCATTTATGTGGGATTGTGAGGTTTCATTTCAGTTTCAAACTATCTATGGATCGTGTGGGAATTCGAGCTTTTATATTATATATTTCTGGACAATCTATTAACCAATATCATTTTAATGGGAGCTCAATTATCATTATAAAAATGAGATTAATGATACATTTGTATATTCTTAAATGAGGAGGGTATTTCACTGAATGTTCGACCTATATATTCATTCTGTATGTAGCATCTCGATTGAATGATTTTCAATAAACTTAAACGAATTAATAGACTTAAACATAAAATATAAATATAAATATTAAAATATGAACATTCCGGCCAACGGGCCGGGTTATAAGCTAGTTGCAGAAAAGAAAGAGAGAAGAGAGACCATATTAATTTATTGACGAGGATTAACAGATGCGGCGGGGTGATTTGACCGAGAAATGTTAATTTCTGTTGATGGATGTTACCCCGGCGGCGGGTGCTTCTAGTGGTAGCAAGGATTAACAAAAATATTTTCCAATTTAAATTTTTAATGGTTGCAATAATAAGGTGGAAATTTGAAAATTATTAAATTTAATTTTTTAATTGCCATGTCACTCATTTAACGGTCAACTATGAAGATTGACTGCCACATAAGCAAAAGTTAACAGATATGGACGGAGAGTGACCAAACATGGAACACTTGACTAATTCTAGTGACCACGAACGGAATTAAATAATTTTAGTGACCAAACATGAACGTTTTTAGTAATCTCAATGACCAACCTTACAATTAACCCCAAAAAAATTAGTAGTAACATTATATTCATTTATATTAATATCTTACCAACTAGTGGATTAAACTTGATGTCACGTAGCCTAAAGAACTAGCTAACACATTATTCCGTTTGTGATGATCATATTAGGTTTTCCTAATCCAGATGTCCTACGTAGTTCTATTTCTTGCAACTAAGTTAGTATCTCTTCTATATATATATCCTTAAGTAGATTATAGACACATTCACCAAACAAGCATCGTATGTAGATTTTGAACACAGTGCTAGTTGGGAGTACTGGAAGCCCTCCATCAAGATCGTAATGTTTTACTTGAATATGTTCAAGAAGGAGCAACTATGACAACTTTCATTGGGTACGAGAATCCATCTCGAGTTAGAAATGTAGATCATATATGACTATGACATCAACAAATCCAATCTATGGCAGGCTCAACAAAGGCCTTTATTGTGACCCAATGACCTAGCTGTCTCTTCTCTGTCGCCTAGATAGTCTATCAATCCCAACAGGCTAGGTGACGGGTTTAGTGGCAAGCCGACGAGACGAGCTTGGTGACGATCTAATAAGGAGGGCAAGCTACCAAGCCAAAAAAATCATCTTGGTGGCAAGCTGACAAGACGGACTTGATAACAAGCTCACAAGACATACAACATACCAAACCTATAAAAAGGACTTGGTGGCAAGCTAGCTAACAAGGCAGTCAAGATACCAAGCTGATGACATGGGTTTGGTGGCAAGCTACCAACGTTGTCATGGTATCAAGATGATGAGGCGAGTTTGGTGCAAGCAGACAATATACCAAGCCAACGAGATAGACTTGGTGGTAAGTCGGCAACACGATGCATCACGGCATCAGCCACCACCAGATACAAATTTAGTTCTATTTCTTATTTATTTCTCAATTGGATCAAGAGGGATATAACTCATAGGTAGAGGATACCAAGCCGAGGATATGGCATCATGTCGAGCTCTCCAAGGCTAGGTCTAGAGGGGTTCATGTACTTGGGCATGAAAGGGGGTATGTTCTCATCCCATCAAGGCGAGTTACAAGTCCTAGCCAACAAACAATTTCGGTAAGGTGGCTAGCCTTACGAGTGTAGGAAAGAAACATGATATGGGGACACTAGGACCATCAAGGGCTGCGATCGGAATTCATCGTGGGGGCAAGGCATCAAGGCTTCAATTCCACCTAGGGTGAAGTTCAACTCAACATGCCCCAATCTGGCCTGGTGCCAACCGCCAAGGCCATCAAGCCAACACCAACTAGTCACCAAGGTAGCGATGAGGAGTCTCCGAGGCAGTTGGAGAAATCATCAAGTCTGAGGTTACCTAGGCAATTACACCTTATTGCTATTAGGAGGAGAAACAACGGAGCAAAGGTTCTCAATACTAACACTTTGATATACATGCCGATCAAGTTTATCATTTTCTCACCAAATTAGTCATAGGGGTAGTTTTTGGCCAAACCTTCATATAATTAGAGTAATTTAACATAGTTTATGTTCCTAATATATAACAACTTTGTTCGAACATTTTCGAACAAACGAACCGTATATTTTACACTATCCAAAGAAGTAAAACTTATACAAGACATACACTTCGTCAAAATCCTATGAAACTATTCCATTATCTTATCTAGTGGATAATCACTACAATGTCGAGAAGATGAGAATTAAAGAGAGTCGTCATTTACCCCAAATTACTCCCAAAAACCACGACCATTTTTTTCTCGGTCGTGTGATCAGAATCACCCAATCTAGAATAACTTGTAAATTTGTGGAGCGATTTTTGTGGCGAAATGTTTCTGCTTTATATTAGAGCAGCATCATACCTTATATATACAAAAAGAAGTAACACCCAAACCATCATTCCTCATCAGCTCATACAAAACTCACTAGTAGTATCAAAATTACCCTATAATAACTTTCCAACCTCAACCAAAATACCAAAAAAGGAGATGACGCATCACAATAGAATCTTGTTAGTGGCACTTCTACTCTTGTCCGCATTCGCCATGTCCGTCAATGCCAACCCTTGGGATCCCAGAAAGCATATAACAAAAGTGGTGGTGGAGAACGACATCGAGGGACGGGAACTCGCGGTCCATTGCAAGTCCAGGGACGACGATCTGCATCTCCGCAGGCTGCAACCACACCGGTCCTTCGACTGGACGTTCAGGCCGACCTTCTTCGAGACGACCCTGTTCTACTGCTCCTTCGACTGGGGAGAGGGGGTTCATTGGTTCGACATCTACATTCAGGACAGAGATTACCATATCTGCAAGGAGTGTCGGTGGCTCGTGAGGAGGGACGCGGTGTGCCTCACCAGTGACTCGAATCAGGCTTGTTACTACTATAAGAGGAGGTAATAGGGATGCACGTTACGTTAAGAACCACATTTTTTGCTGGTACGGTCTTTCCTGAAAGTTCGTCGACATAAAAGGGACAATTAGGGTTCACTATCATTGTCTCGTGATGTGGGAGTAGGTTTTTCATTTTTCGATTGAACTCTTGTTTTGTGTTTTGATTCTAGGTATGGTCCGTGATTCGATGTTGGTTGGTTTTCTGGAATTTTTATTTAGTGGAGCATCCGATGTTATTTCCTCTATTAGTACAAAATAAAGTTTTACCAAGCAGGGGCGGAGCTAGGATCCAGTGGTCGGGGGGCCGGACTTTATTGTATAATATCCGTAAAAAAAAATTAAGAAAATATTTACATTGTGAGTCATAAGCTTCAAAATTTAACTATCTAGACTCCGAAATTTAATTATCTAAATTAGAAAAATATTATAAGCTCCAAAATTTCATTATCTAGTTTGAACTTTGAAATTAAAAAGTATTTGAATAAGTACAAAAGTTAAGTGATCAGTCTAAATTTTAAACAAAAACTCAACTAATGTAGGAAAATTAAAAAAAGAATGTTGCTGCTATGGATTGAACCATGGTACTAGGTATTCACAAATACCAAGCAGCTTTTGCATTTCGTTAGACTAGACCCAGACATTGTTACTCATAATTGCACGTTATTGTTATTCTACAATAGTTAACTTCTTAAGAATTTTCAAAATTCACGATATTTTTATACGCGATCTCCAAAATTCTCGGGGTGCCGAGGCCCCCCGAGACACAAGGTAGCTCCGCCCCTGTTACCAAGAAAGCAATGTGAGGTCAATCATCTTCTTCTTTACTACTCGATACAAGAGAAAATTGGACTTTGTTCTTCATGATGAAGTTATTGATATTGAAGAAAAAAATTCGAACTTGAACAAAATAGAAGAATTGGAAGATATGACATGGATCATAGTGCAGTGCAATATTACTTATACATGTTATTTTACATAATAAGAGTGGCGAGCAAGGTCGTAGCTACAAGAACTTCAACTACTTGTAGTTAACAGTTAGTATCATCGAACGTGTCTTAGCGAGATTATTTCAATTAACTAAACAAAACAAGTTGACGATTCTAATTTGGTAGTAAAGACTAAATGGCCACATTATTATTAGAATTATTATTATTATTATAACAATAATAATAGGGTTATAGGTATAATATACCCCTCTACTATAACGTTTTTGTCAAACATGCCCCTATAATTTGGAAAAACTATCAAACATGCCATTCAGTTGAAATTTCCATTGAAAAAAATCATCAATCATGGTTGAACCTAATAGAGTTGATTCCGTGTAGTTGTAGTTTCCTTGTAATCCAAGTATTCCTTTCCTAGTTGTACATGGTTAGTACTTTGTAATCTGGGTTATAAATACCCCTCTCATGTTAATAATACAACACACAATTCCCATATTCCTTACATGGTATTAGAGCTGGTTCTCTAACCCTATTTTTTTCCGACTTCGGCGTCTACGTTCAATGCCTCTTCTCGTCGTTCATCATGTCGGATATCTCTTCTGCCTCCGATGCTACCAGCGGTGGCTCCGCTGCTTCCGATGCTGCCTTGGTCACGTTCAACCCGGCGGCCTCTCTCCCGTTGAAGCGCACGGCTCTTAATTTTCCCTCTTGGCGTGCGCAGTTCATGTCTCTCATGGCTGGTCTCGACCTCACTGGCTATCTCGATGGCTCTATTGCTGCTCCTCCCACCACGATCACGGTTGATGGAGTATCTGCTCGCAATCCTGCTTACCTGCGTTGGTATCGTCAGGATCAGCTTTTGCTAAATGGCATCTTTGCCTCTGTTTCTGAGGGAGTTCTCCCGTTTATCAGCGCTTCGCCCACGTCGTCTAGTGCTTGGGCCACTCTTCAGCGCCTTTATGCTGGTTCTTCGCAATCCCGGGTAATGACGTTGCGGGATCGCCTTCATGGTGAGAAGAAGGGCGATCGTGATGTTACTACGTACATCCAGTCCCTCCGTGCTTATGCGACTGAACTTGCCCTAGCTGCAGCTCCCGTTACTGACGCTGAGTTGGTCACGGTCTACCTTCGTGGCCTTGGTCCCGACTATCGGGAGTTTGCGGCTGGGATTCGAGCTCGTGACGTCACCCCATCCCTTGAAGACTTGCTCGATCGCCTCGTTGCTCTTGAGGCTGATCTTCGTGCCTCTCGTCCTTCCCCTGACTCTCCGGCTACGGCGTTTGCTACTCAGCGGGGACGTGGTCGCGGTCGTCGAGGAGGAATGCCTGGCTGTGGTGCTGGTCGCGGCTCTTCTCCGCCGCCCTCCTCTTACTCTGGATCCTGGGACTCTTCTTGTGGTGACGATGATGGCCACCGTACACCTCGTAGTGTGCCAATTTTGCGAGAAGCGGGGCCACTCCGCTCGCACTTGTTATCAGTTGTTTCCCAACAAGCGCCCGCAGGCTAACAACACTATTGCTCCTTCTCGACCGCGCCCGTCTGCACCAGCAGAGGACTCTTGGCTAATGGACTCGGCTGCGAGTCATCATGTCACACCCGATCTCGGCAACCTGGCCCTTTATTCAGACTATAATGGTCCCGACGAGGTTTATCTTGGTGATGGTACAGGTTTGGCAATCACACATATTGGTTCTTCTTCTCTTTCCGCTTCTACTCGTCGTCTTACACTTAATAATATTTTATGTGTTCCGGGTATTCGTAAGCGGTTGATATCTGTTGCCAAACTCTGTCGTACTAATCCAGTTTTGGTGGAATTCTTTGCCGATTTGTTTGTTGTGAAGGATCTAAGAACGGGGGCGACACTGCTGACCGGAAGGAACAACGGTGATACGTATGAGCTTGGTGGTGGTTCTGGAGCTGTCTGTCTTGCGCTGGTCACCACTCGCAACACCCCTGATCTGTGGCATCGTCGTCTTGGGCATCCGTCATCTCGCTCTTTCTCTAGTTTACTTTGTGTCAATTCTCTTCCAGTTGTTAAGTCGTCGGCCTTTTCTCATTGTAACTCGTGTCTGTCTTACAAGAGTCATAAACTACCGTTCGGTGTTTCTAGTCTTTCTAGTACTCGGCCCTTGGATTTAGTTTTTTCTGACGTTTGGGGTCCTGCCCCTATTCCCTCAATTGATGCTTTTTCCTACTATCTTGTTCTTGTTGACCATTTTACTCGTTATACATGGTTTTACCCATTACGTCGTAAATCTGATGTGTTGTCTGTTTTTACTACGTTCAAACGTTTGGTAGAAAACTATTTTGCTACTACCATTCACAGGCTTTACACTGATGGTGGCGTTGAGTTTGTTAAACTGCGTCATGAACTTGCTTCTCATGGTGTCACTCATCTTCTCACCCCACCTTACACTCCCGAACACAACGGTCTTTCTGAACGTAAACACCGTCATATAGTTGAAACGGGTCTTACCTTGCTTCATCAAGCCCGTCTTCCTCTTACTTATTGGTCCTATGCCTTTTCCACTGCTGTGTACCTCATCAATCGTCTCCCGTTGTCTTCACTTCGTGGTCAGGTTCCCTTTGTTCTACTGTTCAATGAGTCTCCCAATTATCTTAAGCTCCGTGTCTTTGGTTGTCTTTGTCACCCCTGGTTGCGTCCCTATGCTCCGCACAAAATGAATTCTCGTTCCCATCCTTGTATTTTCCTCGGCTACTCTCATCAACAAAGTGCCTACAAGTGTCTTGATCCTGTTACTCTTCGTGTCTTTTTGTCTCGTCACGTTGTCTTTGTTGAGTCTGAACTTCCTGGTCTCTGTCTCTCGACCTCGTCTTCTTCCAGTTCGGATGCGGTCCCTTCCTCGTGGTTTGCCGCATTTCTGCCTCCAGTCAGCCTCATTGCGCCATCACCTGCTCCTCCTTCCCAGTCATCGTCGCCGCCCGTTCCTCCTCACACACCGGCTGCTGTTGATTCAACTGCGGCTCCTACTGTGACAGAGCCTACTCCTTCAACGTCGGCCTCTTCTACTCCCACTGACAGGAGGCCCTCCTCGTCGCACTCCCTGTCGGTTCCTCATCCCATGGTCACTCGAGGTAAAAACAACATCCGTAAGCCTAATCCCAAGTATGCTAATGTTGTTACAGCTCCTGCCTCTCCACCGTTGGCCCCGACTTCTGTCAAGGAGGCTTTACTTCATGGCCGCTGAGAATGCTGCTCTTCTGGCAAATCATACATGGGATCTAGTTCCACGTCTTCCCCACTATAATGTTGTTGGCAATCGTTGGGTATGGCGTGTGAAGTGCCACCCGGATGGGTCTATCGAACGTTTTAAATCTCGTCTTGTGGCTAAGGGATTTCATCAGCGTCCTGGCCTTGATTTTCATGAGACCTTCAGTCCGGTTATTAAGCCAGTTACTATTCGGGTGGTCTTTGCTCTTGCTCTCTCTCATTCGTGGCCTGTTTTCCAGTTTGATGTTCATAATGCCTTTTTACAAGGCCCGTTGCAGGAGGAGGTTTATATATCCCAGCCTCCAGGATTTCATGACCCTCAGTTTCCCCGTCATGTCTGTCGTCTTCGTAAGGCTATTTATGGCCTACGGCAGGCACCACGAGCCTGGTATGAGGCTCTTACTTCGTTTTTGGAGAGCTGCGGTTTTGTGAAAACACGGTCTAACGTATCATTATTTGTCTATCACCGTGGTTCTGTGACTGCTTATTTTCACATGTACGTTGATGACTTACTGCTCATGGGTAATACTCCTTCATTTTTGGCTGAGTTTCAGCGCCGCCTGGCTGCTCGTTTTTCTCTCAAGCACCTTGGTCCTGTTAACTTCTTTCTTGGAATTGAAGTCATTCCGACGGCGTCCGGTTATCTTCTCTCTCAGCATCGCTACGTTGTTGATCTCTTGACTCGGTTTCAGATGCATGATGCCAAGCCCTGTCCTACGCCACTGACTTCTAGTTTGCGACTTTGTCTCAAGGATGGTTCGCCTCCTGCGGATGCCACACTCTACAGACAGGTGCTTGGCGCCCTGCAGTATTTGGTTACTACTCGGCCTGACATTGCCTTTTCTGTTAATCGCCTTTCACGGTTCATGCATGCGCCCACTACTCAGCATTGGCAGCATGTTAAGCGTCTGCTTCGCTATGTTGCTGGTACTCGCACTCTTGGTCTTCGCATCACTCGCCATGCTCTTCCGTTGCCTCTGCGTGTCTTCTGTGAATCTGACTGGGCTGGTATATCTTGGTGATACACTCATTTCCTAGAAATCCAAGAAGCAGCGAACTGTCGCTCGCTCCAGCACTGAGGCCGAGTATCGTGCTCTTGCTCTTGCGACTACAGAGTTGGTCTGGGTTCGTAATCTACTTTCTGAGCTTCATCAGTCGCCTTTGT